TAGCAGTAGTAGTCGTAGTAGCAGCAGCAGTCGTAGTCGTAGTCGTAGCCGTAGCCGTAGTCGTAGTACTAGTCGTAGTCGTCGTAGAAGTCGTAGTGGTGGTCGTAATAGTAGTAGCAGTAGTAGCAATGGTGGCGGCAGTAGTAGTAGTAGTAGTAGTAGTAGTAGTAGTAGTAGTAGTAGTAGTAGTAGTAGTAGTAGTAGTAGTAGTAGTAGTAGTAGTAGTAGTAGTGGTTGTTATAGTAGTAGTAGTAGTAGTAGTAGTAGTAGTAGTAGTAGTAGCAGCAGCAGCAGTAGTACTAGTAGTAGTCGTCGTCGTAGTCGTAGTCGTAGTCCAAATAATTACCCTGGCGACGTACCCAACCCCTGCGCAAAAGCGGGGCGCAAATAGTTTAGGATACTTTATAAGGGGGCGATGACGGAGCGAGGGTTACATATGTCTGCAGACGGAATTCGGGAGACTCGCAGGACACTGGCTACAGGAAAAGGGCTTGATAAAGCTGATGATTTACAATTCCTGAGCACTCCTAGCCACTTCGAAAACGGGGATCACAGCAGGCCTCGAAAGTGGCGACAGGTTCACAGATCGCAGCCCCGCAGGGATGGCGAGGTCTCATTTGAATCTGCCCGTGGCCCTCACTGTGCTGGGCCCCCCAGCAGGCCTCGAAAATGGCGACAGTTTCGCAGATCGCAGCCCCCCAGGGATGGCGAGGTCTAATTTGAATCCGCGCGTGGCCCTCACTGTGCTGGGCCCCCCAGCAGGCCTCGAAAATGGCGACAGTTTCGCAGATCGCAGCCCCCCAGGGATGGCGAGGTCTAATTTGAATCCGCGCGTGGCCCTCACTGTGCTGGGCCCCCCAGCAGGCCTCGAAAATGGCGACAGTTTCGCAGATCGCAGCCCCCCAGGGATGGCGAGGTCTAATTTGAATCCGCGCGTGGCCCTCACTGTGCTGGGCCCCCCAGCAGGCCTCGAAAATGGCGACAGTTTCGCAGATCGCAGCCCCCCAGGGATGGCGAGGTCTAATTTGAATCCGCGCGTGGCCCTCACTGTGCTGGGCCCCCCAGCAGGCCTCGAAAATGGCGACAGTTTCGCAGATCGCAGCCCCCCAGGGATGGCGAGGTCTAATTTGAATCCGCGCGTGGCCCTCACTGTGCTGGGCCCCCCAGCAGGCCTCGAAAATGGCGACAGTTTCGCAGATCGCAGCCCCCCAGGGATGGCGAGGTCTAATTTGAATCCGCCGCGTGGCCCTCTGTGCTGGGCCCCCCAGCAGGCCTCGAAAGTGGCGACAGTTTCACAGATCGCAGCCCCCCAGGGATGGCGAGGTCTAATTTGAAATCACTGTGCTCCCCAGCAGGCCTGGCGAAAGTGCCTCGAAAGTGGCGACAGTTTCACAGATCGCAGCCCCCCAGGGATGGCGAGGTCTAATTTGAATATGCCGCGGTTACCCTCTATGCAGGACCCCCCAGCAGGACTCGAAAATGGCGACAGTTTCGCAGATCGCAGCCCCCCAGGGATGGCGAGGTCTAATTTGAATATGCCGCGGTTACCCTCTATGCAGGACCCCCCAGCAGGCCTCGAAAGTGGCGACAGTTTCACAGATCGCAGCCCCCCAGGGATGGCGAGGTCTAATTTGAATCTGCCGCGGTTACCCTCTATGCAGGACCCCCCAGCAGGCCTCGAAAGTGGCGACAGTTTCACAGATCGCAGCCCCCCGCAGGCAAGACAGGAAGAGGCGGGAGGCGGGAGGCGGGAGGCGGGAGAAGGGACGCGACCACACTGCTCTATCCAAAACGAATACCCAACCAAGGAGGGTAGGGAATAATCCTAGTCGTAGTGACAATAGTGGACATAGTAGGATGTAAAAACAATCGACGTCGTAGTAAGAGTAGTCGTCGTGGCCATCGCAGCAATACCCTATACGTAGTAGAAATGGAGTAGTGATAAGCAACTTATAAGTAGCAGTCGTAGTGGTAGCAGTGATATGAATACCAATGATGGTAACACTATTGACGTAGTAGTACTGGTCGTCGTGGTGGTAGGAGTAGCAATAGCAGCAGTAGTACAAACAGAAGTAATAATACTCGTAGTAGTAGTAGTAGTAGTAGTAGTAGTAGTAGTAGTAGTAGTAGTAGTAGTAGTAGTAGTAGTAGTAGTAGTAGTAGTAGTAGTAGTAGTAGTAGTAGTAGTAGTAGTAGTAGTAGTAGTAGTAGTAGTAGTAGTAGTAGTAGTAGTAGTAGTAGTAGTAGTAGTCGTCGCCGGAGTACTAGGACTAGTAGTAGTAGTCGTAGTGGAAGTCGTAGTAGTAGTCGTGGTAGTAATAGTAGTAGTAGTAGTAGTAGTTGTTGTTGTTGTTGCTCTTGTAGTGTGCGTAGTGGTGGTAGTAGCAGTAGTAGTAGTAGCAGCGGTCGCCATCGTAGTAGTAGTGGTGGCAATCATGATAGTAGTAGTAGTAGTAGTAGTAGTAGCAGCAGTAGTAGTAGTAGTAGTCGTAGTAGTAGT